TTTGGATGGAAGAGTAAGCATCCCCTGTGGACAGGTCTCGCCCACTGTGCGCCTTTTGTCATGATGTAGCTAACGGAAAAATCCGTAGACAATTCAATATGAAAATAATAGCCTAACAATGTGTATGAAAGACGTTCGTCAACATTCGACCAAATGGCAGATTGTATACAGTGTATTTGCAAACAAGGTCATCGTATCTACCAAAGGCTTTGAGAAATGCTGATTTTAAAGGAGTTTGTTGATATCATTTCATCTCAACTTTTTTTGTCAGTAGCCTTCCTCATTTACAAAATCGTACTTAAAATATGCTCTTGTGAATAGAATCAGTTGCTAAACATTAACCTTCGATGTAGGTGAAAATGGTATATTGCAATAGTAAAGGGAAGTTGATGATAGAAAAGTTGAAGTCATTACGTTTATCATAAGTTTTACTTAAAGGTAAAATTGGCGATGAATAACAGAAACATGTCAACAAAATTATGAAAGGAGAGTTAAAATAGGTTTCTAATTAACAAGCACTGGTTATCGAATCTGTTTCATGTATGGTAGCTCAGTGGGTAGAACTCTCGTTTTATGATTGGAAGGTCGTGGGTTCAAGCCCCGGCAGACCTAAGTCGATAAAAATAAGTAGCAACTGTTCCTTCGCCAAGCATTCTTCACCTTGAAGTGAACGTTGCAGGTCTTTCAAATGATACCTTAAAAGCCGTGGCCCTGTGTCACAGTATTCGTTAACACGATAAAGAACCCCCACCGCTCAACGGCCCTTTGTACTGATTAATGGTCTAAATTTGAAGTCCTTCACAGGTATATTAAATGTCTTCATATGAGTGAAAAATTCCCGGGTGGGACGTTAAACAATATACAGATTAATAAGTATATGTCTACGAGGGTTGTTCGTGGACTAGCGCCATAAAGTTAAAACCGCTTAAGATACATCAATGAATTTTTAACGTTTAATTAGCATCATCTTTTTTATTTATATAATAAACTATACATCATTAGTTTTATTTTTTAATAAATTGTTGATGTTTTTGAAAGCAATGGTATGCCCAGGCGGCGCAACCTCGAAGATTACGTAAAACTTAGAAAAAACTCTTTTTTTGATATTCACGAGCATTCGTCATTCAAAAATCCCGTTAATTCACTCATGTGGTATGACACAATTGTACCGTAAATTTGCAATTTTTACCCCCATTCTGTAAGTTCTATGAAATTTTATCGTAAAATTTAAATGAAATGTCCAAACAATTATGGGGTTGAAATGACGTCAGAAAGGGGGGTGGGTTTCTTTTTTCAACATTCTATAAAGTTTTACCCTCTGGAAAATCTGGCATAGACCTAGGATATATTTAAATGGGCTACTGAAAAATAAAATGCATTCAGAGTACTTGTGTTTAAACGCCGAAAAAGATTAGAGAGACGAGAGATGTAAAAGTGAATGTCGATTTGTAGTAAGGGTGTTCAAAGTTTGTCACGTCGAAAAGTGACGTTGATCATGTGTGATAAATGTTGAACTCCGACAAGCAAATACGCTGTTATAATCAAGTGAGGATTTTTCAGATCTATTTACAATATTATATGCATTGAAATCAGCTGTTTATGACACTGTAAAATCATATAAACAAGACGGATTTAAATCTTTACTTAACTCCAATGAAACTCATCAAGATAAGTGTATGAGGTAGAGAATGCGGACATTGAAAAACAATGACGTCATGTAACTAAATGGCGAGAGCGCCTGGTGATCATATAATGTCTTTTTTATTTTATGATAATTTGGAAAATTTTCAACATTTCTTAAGCTTTTGTTGTTTTTTGTTCAATAAAAATTTTGTAAGCATAGACTACATAGTATTAATTTTATCGCATCAGTCCACGAACTTTTCGAACAACCCCGTAATTCCCGTATCTCTTTCTCCTTCTTTCTTTCATTCTTTCACTCTTTCTCTCTCTCTCTCTCTCTCTCTCTCTCTCTCTCTCTCTCTCTTAAAAAGTAGTGTATATATATATATATATATATATATATATATATATATATATATATATATATATATATATATATATATATATATATATATATATATATATATAAATATAAATCAACTTATGTATCAGAAAACATGAATTAAAAAAACATACAATCAATCAACAATCAACAATAAATCAACCCTATAGCTGTTTCATAGCATGTTATGAACAACAACAAAATGAACATCTGCGCTGGATTGATGAAACACACCTGATAATGGAAGAAATTAGAATTAAATTTCTTTTAAATTGTATAGATTAAAATTGCATATAAAGAAACAGGAAATAAATTCTTTAATCTGCTTTTATTAAATGTCCCGAAAATGTTGGTACATGATAATTATAGTAGAGATACGTTCCCTTTCCGTTGTAATGTCTAACCCAGACATCATCGTTTATGTTTAAGTGGATCATTGCGACACAGTAGCCCTCTTGGAAGTAAGTAGCGGCATGTGCTCGGCATATCATATTTCCGTTCTTCACCATCTCAAGATCTACACTATACGAAGAGGAATAAGCCTGACTAGTGAGGACAAATTGATAATACCCAGCAGCAGGAGCACGGAACAAACCAAAGTATCTGTCGAATCCACCACCAACATTATAATGAACGTTTTCGAAGGGTATGGTTTGGTTAGGACTCATAGTACTGTATGATCTTGTTAGGTAGGCGGAAAATAGTATTGGGTCTGAAACAATGAAGTAAATTCGCAATTTTATGCATGTTTAAAGGTCAAATTAGTAAGAAAATGAAGTTTTAAAGTTAAATTTGTATCTGGAGAAAGAAAACATGCTGTGTGAACATAATACATGTATCATATTTTTTTAGCAGCAAATCGTCTTTAGATAAAAACCACACACGCTAACTCTCGATTCCCGCCTACAATTTACACCCATTTAATTCAATATGGATGGTAGTTTGGTCATTAAACTTGTTTGAATGTAAACAAGAAATTATTACTGAAAATTAATAATTTGAAAACCAGTGTAAAAAATTTAATTGTTCTTTTTTACGACTCTTTTCAAGTGTGTGTGTGTGTGTGTGTGGGGGGGGGGGGGGGGGGTTGCAAATGTTATCCACTGAAATTAGGCTTTAAAAATCGCAAGATTTTCAAAAAAGTCCCATTGAAAATGAAAAATGACACTTAAGACTTTCCTAATGTTTTATTTAAGTAAAATTCAACATAAATGATTATTTTAATTGTAATCTGATTTGACATTGATAATGAAATGAAAATTTTTGCAGTTTTTTGTCTGTAAACATATCCCTCCCCCTCCCCTTGAAACAACAAAAGCTTTGGTATGAATTTGTGAAATAACAATTTATAAAACCCATAAAAAGGGTTTTTCGTTCACGGAGTGGGGGATGTTTTGAAAATATTTTCGTTTTCCGTTGATTTCTACAGTGAATAACCCCATTTTAATTTGTAGAATTTTCAAACACATGTTAATACTTCATAATTATCTGTCTCGGAAACATATTTTATAAACAAAAACATAAACTTACTTTCCAATCTTCTCCATTCCCTATTCACTGATTTTAATGCACTCCTCTGACTTTCGCGATTTGTGTGAAACTTATTAAATATTTTCTGAATGCGTGTTTCTAGGGAATCATCGTTAATGGCACTGAGCGAATTGACTCCATGGTCTAGTATAAAACAATAAGTAATCAAAATTGCGAATTTTGAGTTCATAACAAATTTAAACTGAATTTATGTGCCATTAATATCACCAAATAATTTGCAGATATACAAACCCTCTGTGACGATTAATCACATGACAACATGGCCTGTAAGAGATAAGATTTATCAAGATTAAAGTTTCCACTATTTTCCACAATCTTTATGATTTTCATTGACAAATTATTTTCCTTCAATACCATTAAGTCTACTGATATAACTGAAAACAAATTAGTTAATAAATTAATCAGAATTTAAACAAAGTAGCATTATAAACTTATTTCCCATGAAAGTATGTGAAAAGGACTAAGCATAAAAAACTTTTTAAATATCCGTCATCATTATTTTACGCAAATTCTTGAAGGGATCAATTATAAATATTAAAACGCTTCTAGGTTTCAAGTGAACTTTTAAAACCATGCATGTACTTATTTACATCTTCACCCAACATATAGGATAAGGGTTAAAATAAAGTACTAAGCATAAAAAGCTTTTTAAAATGTCCGTCATCATTATTTTACTTCTCTTTTTTCATCCAACACATATGATAATGGTTCATACCTAGTCTTAGCTTATAATAGTGCCATTTGACTTTAATACCACCTGTATGGGTACCATTTCCTTACTGACCATACTAAACTTGTTTAAACCTACATGCATATGGCCATAGGAACCGGAGGCACGGGGGGGGGGGGGGCGTGTCCCTCAATAATTGTGCCGATATATAGAAGACTATTAAAAACATAGCTGCTATATGCTTGTGCCCCCTCAATATGACCTTTTTTTCGCTTGTCAAGGAATTTTGGTACTTGATAGTGCCCCCCCCCCTCCCCAACTGAATATGTATGGTTGTGCCCCCTCAAAGTGAAATTGCTTCCTACGGGCCTGTACATGTATTTATACCAGAAGGTGTTTTTCTTATGTTTAAACATTGATTTGTTTTATTACATGACAAGAGCTTTCAAGGTCCCCAACTTCCTTAAATCTGATTAAATTTTCCTTTTCTCCCACCAAATTTGAGGCTTTTTTTAAAAAAAACTTAAGAATCATCATAACTTTGGGGGAAAAAAACAAAGAGAAAAAGTACAGTTTGCCAATCAAGATTTTTCTCTATCGGAATATACATGTATGTACTGAAAGTAAGAACCCAATCACTTTTAAGGGAACTGATCTTTTCATGTAAGAAATAATGGATTATCTCATAAACAAAGATAAAGACGTCATGTAAATATGATAAGAGTTTTTTCTATCTCTCCCCAAGTATTAGTGAAAGGGTTTTGAATACGGGACATGTGGTGTTTAATTATTTTTATTATTTTTCATATTTTAATGTTCACTGTTTCGTCCATTGAAACTGACATTTCAGTTTTAAGAAAAAAGATATCAGACCTTGAAAACGAGTTAGCTGTTCAAAAGTCCATGAATAATGAGCTTCGAAATCTTATCAACAAGGGAGGATTATATCATATTCGACTCCGAAAAGGTTTGTCAAATACCTTGAATTGAATTTATTTTGTAAATTTAAAATGAATTTGTAAATTCTGTTGTATAAATTTGATTTTTCTCAAATATTGAGAGGGAAAAGAAATTTGCAGGTAATTTTTTTTTTACAATACTAAAACAATATTTACAAGAAATGCATTATACATTCGATAATCTCGTTGTTAGTGGGTTAGGATGTGTGATAAGTAAAAGGGGGGGGGGGTCACATAAAGTTATATATGCAAAGCCCTCAATGCAATTTTCACTCAAACCCCTTACACCAATACAAAAACTTTTCTGTGTTTATAATGGTTTTTTTTTCCGAATGCAGGCCTGCTGAATCCTCTTTTTGTCCGTTATTTTTACTAAATCTTAGTAAAAGCAGCACGGTCATATGTTCCGAAATGTATCTGGTTATTATAATCATTATTATTATTTCCAAAATTTCATTAATGTATGATACAGCTTTAATTAAATGTATATGAGAAATAAATTTAATTTTTGAGAGTTATGAGGATATGAACTACGATGCTTCACGCCGGCATATTTCATGAAGCACGTTAAATTCATATTTTATATTTACATTATTTGTCTGACGACTTGTCACAGATTTATGTCAAACAACGATCATTTTTGAAACAAAACAGTTTGCACTATAGTTTTACGTCAAGTACGGTATTAAGACGTCACAACTTAGATATTCTTGCTCATTCATGGTAGTTCATGAGAAAATAAACAGTATTCTAATTTGCAAAGAATCTGAAGGAAATGTATTTGGAAATGTAAATATTTTACTATCGTGCAAACTGTTTTCTTTCAAAAATGTTCGTTGAATGACATAAATCTGTAACAAGTCGTCAGACAAATAATGTAAATATAAGATATGAATTTAATTTTTGAGAATCCATTAGGCACATGAACTATATCATTTCACGCCTGCATATTTATCATGAAGCGCTAATGCACTTCATGAAATATGCCGGCGTGAAGCATCGTAGTTCATGTCCTCATGAACTTTCAAAAATTAAATTCATTTCTAAAAGATTTACATTTCCAAATACTTATCCTTTAGATTCTTTTCAAATTAGAATACTGTTCATTTTCTCATGAACTACTATGAATGAGCAAGAATATATCCATTGTGACGTCATAATACCGTACTTGACGTAAAACTACATAACAAACTGTTTTGTTTCAAACATGATCGTTGAATGACATAAATATGTGACAAGTCGTCAGATAAACAATGTAAATGTAAGATATGAATTTAATTTTTGAGAATTAATTAAGCATGTGAACTACAACACTTCACGTCGACGTATTTATCATGAAGTGCTAACACGCTTCATGAAATATGCCGGCGTGAAGCGTCGTAGTTCATGTCCTCATAAACTCTCAAAAATTAAATTCATTTCTTAAATATCTGGGCATTTTATTATTAATTGTGACAACAAAGTTTGTTTCAAAAATAGAGGATGCCAATTAATTCGTTAATGCTATATTGGATACAATTATATACGCTAGAAAATTTTCTATATAAATACCAGGTATGTTAATCTTTTTTTAATTTAATCTCTTAAGTTTTTCTTTTTATTTTGTTTTAATTTCTTTCTTTCTTCCTTTATTTATTTATTCATTTATTTTTTTGTGTAGAAATTTAAGAGCTCAAAGAAAACTCGATACAATATTCATGTAGCAATTTAATTTCACAAGTTTTAAGTTTTATCAAGTGAAAGTTGTAAGCAAAACTAATCTAACACTATATTTACAGATATGTTATTTTATGCTTCATTGTTTTATTTCAGCGGCAAACTGTTCAGTTCATTATCGGCCAATAGTATTTCATGCACGCCTGGCATCTGATATTTCCCCGCTAGGTCTCAACCAAATAATTACCTACGACACTGTCGTCACCAACGAGGGAAATACCTACGACACTCTTACGGGAATGTTCGAGGCTACCACTACAGGCCTATACCAGTTCCTGGCAACCATGTGGTCTACTGATGGTTACAACGTGGATTTTCAAATGATTCTAAATGGAGCAGAAGTATGTGCTGGTCGAACAACCACCAACAACCAATCAATGGGTGTATGTTCAGCTATTCTTCATGTCTCCGCAGGGGAAAGGGTTTTCGTAAGGCATAAAGGAACCGCCGGTAATCACGCCAAAGGCAATAATTATGCAGTTTTTACAGGTCATTTGATTATGTAATGTCATAAAACTCTTATTAAAGGACACTGAGACACTCGAGATTGATTTTTATCGCCAAAATTGGTTCAAAAGAAAAAAAAAATTTAGTTAATTTTTAGCTCACTTGAGCTGAAAGCTAAAGTGAGGTTTTCTGATCACATTTTGTCCGGCTTCTGTCTCGCTAACTGTCTGTCTGCCCGTCTGTGAACTTTTCACTTTTCGACTTCTTCTCCAGAACCGCATGTCCAATTTCAATCAAACCTGCCACAAATCATCCTTGGGTGAAGGGAATTCAGTTTTGTTCAAATGAAGGGTCACATCTTTTTCAGAGGGGACTTTGCAAACGAGAATTTGAGTGTACTTTTCAACTTTATACACAATCATTCCCCACGATAAATTAAATTCCAGGCTTTTTGATATCATTGACAGCTGCTTTTTCAATAAAAATGGAACTCGTAAATATACTTACCTTGTCATTGGTCATTTGCAAAATTATTTTGTTAAAAAACATTCTGATTGTACACACAAGTACTCTGAAGTTGACATTAAAAAGATGCTTGAGTTTCTGATTGACAATATCTATGTGGTTTTTGGAGACCAGGTCTTCCAACAATCTATTGGAATTTCCATGGTACCAATTGCGCCCCGTTATTAGCAGACCTTTTTTGTATTCATATGAAGCAGAATTTGTCCAAAATCTTGTACGTGAAAAGAAGAAAACACTTGCTATGGCGTTCAACTCGACATTTAGATATATCGACGACGTATTGTCAATTAACAATGGCTATTTTCATTCTTATGTCGATACGATATATCCTGGTGAACTTGAGATAAAAGATACCACAGAGTCTGACACATCTGTTTCATATTTGGATATTTTACTTAAAAAAGACGTTAATGGTAATCTAACAACCAAGCTTTATGTTAAACGTGATGACTTTAACTTTTCAATCGTCAACTTCCCTTACTTATGCAGCAATATACCTTCATCACCAGCATACGGGGTATATATCTCTCAGTTGATTCGATACGCAAGAGCATGCTCTACGTATGTACAATTTCTAAAACGAGGTAAATTATTGACAAATAAGTTGATGAAACAAGAATATCAGCTGTCTCGTTTAAAGTCATCATTTCGTAAGTTCTATGGTCGATACAATAACCTTGTCAGCAAATACAATTTATCATATAGTCAAATGCTGACTGACGTTTTTCATACTAATTGTTAGGCCATTATTTACACACTGAATTGTCGACGGATTTTTCCGTTATTTCCCGATCATGACAAGGAGCACACGGCGGGTGTGACCGGTCGGCAGGGGATGCTCACTCCTCCATGGCACCTGATCCCACCTCAGATGTTTGGAGGTCCGTGTTTGCTCTGCTCCTATTCTGTATTGTATAATGGACTTTTGAGCTTGAATACTGTTCGTTATCTCCATATATTTCATATATGAAAGCAAGATAGCATGATTACCGGACATTATGGAATTTGCAAGCAAAACATATATGTATCATTTACAAAATTCATTTTTGGTCTCGAAAAATAAACATTATGCGCATGAATTTTTTTTATTTTTATTTTTATTTTTTTTTGTTTCCACATTTTTGAAAAAGAGACCTTTGGAATCGGAATCAATGTTAGGTAATAATGCTGGAATAGAATTCTTGACCATTGGAATGAAATAAAAAGAGATGGCTACAAATGATCGAGATCTTGTAAATTTATATCTAACGAATTTGACTTTATTTCCTATTAGCGGTGTCGGATGATCTAGTATATGTCGACTATATGTCAGGTAAAAGACCACGTGAGGCTTTTGCATGTTAAAGTGATTAGATTATCTAAAGCATTATTCAGTTCTTGAGCTTACCGTAGAATGTTTCGTGTGATTGTTCTTGTTATCGGCTGTGCTGCTTTCGTGTTTGGAGATGATCCCTCGAAATTACTGACTTTAGAGGAAAGGATGGACAAACTTGAAAGAGAACTGAATATGTGTAAATCACGGGAACCCGGAAAACGAGCAAGTATGTGGTAAAACTTCTTGAAAGAGAAGTGTAATTTAACCTTTAAAAAAAGTTTTGAAGTCATTTTTTGAGTCTTGTAAATTTAAGTTAGCACTTTCATTAATTTTATTCACTTCCAGAAAGAATAAAATAAAATAATATTCCAAAATATTGACGTATATTGCCTGAGGTCAAAATGTTTGAAAGATTGTATGTGATTACATGTATTACTAATAAGTGAACTGGCAGCGAACGCTTTCTAATGACGTAGTTCTCTACATACGAGGGTCATTCAAAGACGATGCAGAAAATGTCGCTTTTTGATCTTATTTTTTCGAAAATTCAAGAGCAATACTTGATCATGAAAAAAGAAAAAAAAACATTTTTGTCGATGTATGCTGTATCGGTTTTATAATTTCATTTGATAATGGAACTCACGATACTTAAGTTTAAAATCAACACATTATGTCCCCATTGAGCATCTCCCTTGACAATATTGTAGCGAAAGTTTCTCAAAAAGTACCCCCTTACAATTCACACATCATCTTTTGCGCATTACCCAGTCATTAAAAATGTTTCTATACAACACGGCACTTAGTTTGCTATTATTAGTTCAAGTAGCATAAATAAGTTGCATTGTTTACATTTTAAATTTCTTATTCAAAAAAATAAAACCATTTACATAAATTGAGCTCACATGAATATTCTTAGAATTCAATGACAACGATATTCTCAAACATCTGTTTTTTGTAAATAGGGCACGAACTCTGTTATTGTTAATGTTTACGTTTCACCGTGTGTGTTCAATTTGTTAGACTCTGCACACATCATTGAGCACGGACTGACAATACTGGTGAGTTGGTTTTTCTTTCTCACATTTCTACTCTGAATTTTCTGAATTATATTTTTAATATTTTTCATTAATACACAATAAAATTTCTACTTTTCTTAAGTATTAAGGATAAAGTTTACGTTGTGAAGCTGCAGGGATGTGTTTATCAAACGATTTCCGAAATTCGAGGTTTCAATAAATTCCAAATAAAGGAAGCTTCTGAACATCCTTTTATTATATTTCCGTGTGAAATGCTATAGCAACATATAAGTCGTGATATTATACAGAAAATTTGAAAAATTTGAAAACAATCTGTGTCCGGGTCCCTTTAAAGTACCCATTGTTTTCCATGACATTACTGCATGTATTTACCGTTTTAAAGATTTTTCTGATTTTCTGATTTTTTTTCTAAAATAGTCCATTCCGATAAAGTTTCTTCCACTCAAAAACTGCCGTATCCATTAAAACTCAAATAGATAGAGCACATAAAATTATTTGATTCACCCTCTGCTTGCTCAAACAAGTAAAATAGCATTGATTGCTTAACGAGTTTATAACATTTAATCATAGAATCATATAATAAAACAACTATTGTTGTTTTGTTTTAGTTAATACGAGGAATTAGCCACCTTCGAAGTACTATCAATATTCACCTTGTCCCTCGGACTAGGTGAATATTATACTCCTTAGGTGGCTAAATCGTCGAATTGACCTCAAAAACAGCAATGATAGTATAGTGTTTTAGTAAAATAAATTTCAACGTGCACTGTGACCAAATTTTTGAACTTGTAAATCTCAATTCATAATGACATTATTTTATATTTTGAATCGAATTATAAAGATCGAATGTAATTGTTAAAAGATGTCAACTAGATTTCTTATATCATGAAGTTTTATGTGAATTAAAAAGTTATTGATTTACAACAATCTGCGTATTTTTTTTTTTTTTTTGAATGACCCTTGTAAGAGTAAGAATACAGAACTTAATCATGGAAATATGCTGGAATAAAGTTCACTAAGACACTCTAATTTTTTTTCTCATAATGTCAAGACTGTATTTCACACAGGTAATCCTTCGAGTCCTGTGATAGCATTTTCTGCTTATCTTTCGAGTGATGTTCATCCTTTAGCTACCAATGAAGCTATAATCTATAACAACGTTCAACTAAATGAAGGAAATGCTTATAATGCTCATGTCGGGCGATTCCAGGCCCCGATCGGTGGTATATATCACTTTGTCGCCAGTGCTCAATCTTATTCTAGTGACTACATAGAAATTGAAATTGTGCGTGATACAGTTACTTTGTGTCGTGGAAGAGGATCTCAGACTTACCAGTCAACCGGAACCTGTGCTGCCACCATTCATCTGTCTGCCGGAAGTGACGTATGGGTCCGCCGATATAGCGGCAATTATATCCGAGGAAATGCTTATTCTGCTTTTACTGGACATTTAGTTAATGCAGACTAACATTCTGAAATCGATAAATTATATGATTTTCCTCTGTTTGTCGCAGTCAAAAACAATATAGAGCATATTACTAAGGTGGACAGTGCTTGTATTTTCGGGCATTAGGTACTGCATTCAATTGGTACTGAAAAGTGACTAATAAATGACAAGAGTTCTGCCATTCAATTACCTTTCCAAACATTTCAGTGACCATTCAGTTAACTTAAAGGCGGTGTTTCATCCTCTTAATGTAAAGGACATCAATAAAAACCTTTTGTCGATCTTAAATAGACTAATGCATGTACATCAAGGGCAAATCCACATCAATTTATGTTAATTAATGTAAAGAAGTTGCAATTGATTGAAATTCTAAATGCAAATTTCAATTTGAATTTGAAGTTGAGTCACTAAATCATAAATGTGGGTAAGAAATATTTCGAAATATACAGACACGCAATGTGTTTGCAGGTTCTGTCAATATACGCAGCGCAGTTTAGGCTACAAAAAAGGAGGCGGGACCTAATTTATACGGGAAATATTTACTTGGACATCACACAAAAAAATAACAGTTCTTCAAATTACCTCAGAATAAAACGATTTGCGATTTTAAACTTTCGGATATGTATTTTGTAATAAAATTAAATATTATTTGCCGGCATGTGAGAGGCCATTAATGATTTTATTTATGTATTTTCCGTTCATTCCCTAGTAAAAGTCTGCTGTATATTTGTAGGCAGATTTATTGGATTGTAAAAGAAGGGACTTATATAATAAATCAATACATTGCAAGAACATTACAAGATCATGACAATTTTTAACACATAAACATAAGAGGTATGAAAAAAGTATGAAAATCATTGAAAAATAATGCAAACCTGATGAAATCTTGCAACTGAATTAATCATTTCTTTATCATATGTAGTTGACCAGCAAAATATTCAACACTGGACTATCAAATGTAATTTTAGCAATAAGGTAGCAGAAACTAATTACAGTACGTTCGCAGCACTTCTCACATATTATGAAAAGTGTTGAAAATATTAAGAAATTGATTTAAACATTTCTATCGTGACTTGCCAGTTTATATAGAATATACCAATATATTCTCCTGCATTTGGTGTTTATATATGTCTCCTAGTTGATTCAACACGCAATCAGTTTCTAAACAGATGGAGGCTACTGACAAATTAGCATTACATGGGTATCAAAAATCTCGATTAAGTCTACTTTTATTCAAATTCTATTTCCATTAGGCCTACTTTATTTGCAAAAACAACCCGTCGTTCGGTCAAAAGTTTGCTGACATTTTTTTTAAATGCGAAATTGCTGGGCAATTATTTGCTTACTGGTTTGTCTTAGGGTTACTTCTTTTACCCTATTGCGACAGAGGGCTTACGGCTGGTGGGACCGGTCGACAGGGGATGATTATTTCTCCATGGCAGGAGAACCCATCCCTGTGTGTTTTTTCTGCTCCAAATTTCTTTTGTTTAATTTGATTTTTGAGCTTGGTTATTGTTCACTAACTTCACATTTCCTTACCTTGTGCATATGAGCATTATGTCTTATTGGACTCCAAATAATGATACTTCATGAATTTTGTGTTACCAACAAACATGTATGTCAAAGAACATTTCATATATACCATCGTTAAAAGTGTACACACATGAAGTGTCCTACTTTGAAGTAAGAATTCGAAATGCAAACGTGCTGGCAGTCATAAAACAGATCTAGAAAAAAGCAAATTTGTCTATAAATCAGAGCCATACAAAATCCAAATTTGAAAATAATAATTATAGGCGAGATTCAGATCAATATTGCATAAGCTGAACGTATAATAAAGCCGCTGTCTGTATTTTTATATATCATAAGTATCAGATATTTGACAGAATAGTGGAGATATTTAAAAAAGAAGAAGCAAGAACTCTATTGAAAATGCCAGAAAAGCCAGATCGGAAATCCGAACAAAATAGCACCCAGTCATAATTAAATTATGTATCTATATGGTTAAAACGTCTTGGAATAATACGAATATTTCATGTTCATTCATTTTCAATAGCATAAATGATTTTCCGACGTTCTGTACAAACTGGGAGACACCGCAAGATGAAAATACGATATCACAACCCATGAAAATATTATAACTTAACAAAAAATATTGTGTATTGTTTTCTGGTTATAAAAAAAAAGATTTTAGTACGCACTTGGCAATTTAGCATATCATTGGAGAAATAGCATGTGTTCACGAAAACACGAATATGTGATAAAAAATACGAAAGTCCTATTTATGACTTTATCATGAAACCAGCTTAACGCCAGATTGGATCATGTGGCTTGTGAATGCAAAATATTAACACCTTTAACGTTTTTGAAGTACTTTTTTTTTTTTTTTTTTTTTAATTTTCATACATTTGCTAAATAATGTACTGCGGACATATTTGGTAGTGTAGTCATTATTAAAAAAAATATACCCATTTGTCAACGAATGTTTTGGACAGACTTGGTACTTGTGCGGTTTTTTTTTTCACAGTCACAATGGATGCTTACTCATCCATGGCACCTGATCCCACCTCAGATGTTTAAGAGGTCCATATTTCCTCTGCTCCCTATCTGTGTTGCTAATATAGACTTCTGTGCTTGATTACTGTTCATTGTTTTCATATTTCACGAAAAGACAATGGATATGCGTCATACAGCATTAAGATTATTTTAGCAAATTTATTTGATCAATTCTAGCTTCTGTTCTTTGTTTAAGTCGTAACTGTAAGAGATCATATCTATTTAATTCCTTATCAATGTATAGGCATACTTCAAAATCAGCTTGATATTTTATGCAGATTTTAGAATGGTTAAAAAGCCTCAATAGAAATCAGGCTTAACGGTAGGAATTCATCAATGAAGAGAAAGTCTGAATTGTTTCTTTATTGACTAACATTTAATGTAAATCGCCTCATTTTGCCTTTGCAATAATGACTGTTTCAAAGCGATTCAAAGAAGAAAAACAGAAGTTCTATTTCTTACAAGCATTTGAATACAGGTTTTACGAGAAAGAAAGTTTTCATTTCATTAGTGTAACAAACATGGACACATCAACATAAATAAAATAATGAAAAAATCCGTTTGCACACGTGACTGTAGAGTGCCAAACAATAGTTTTTCCAATGTTTATTTGCGATCTTTTTTTTCCTAGGTCAATTGCATGGGGTGATATGTTTTCGGCCGATTCCGTTCGTCCTGTGTCGTTCGTAAATTAAAATTTAAACATGTCCATTTTCTCCAAAATAAAAATTTCTGTGAAATACTTTCAAAAGGCTACTTCTACTTGAGGTTTTGTCGTGTTGCAATTAAATTTGGCAAAATAAAGACCAAACCAAGGATCTTTATTTTATTTATTGCTGTTGCCATACTTCAAGTAAGAACCAGTAGAGCTACAGTCTCGTTAGAGACTTCTGGTCTCCTATAAAAATGAGTATTTTAGAGTATCGCATAAAGAGTCCCTAACTGATTTGGACCAGGTTTTTTTTTTTTTTTATCTCACCGAAGGGGAAGATATGCGAACTTTATCTGTAACTCATTGATAGAGACACAAACCAAAAATCTTCTCATTATTTACATAAACTGTCGAGGAAAGTAACACAAACGTTGTTTAAAATATTTTTATTTTAATTGGCAATTGTTGGTCATGTCATGTTGTAGAGCAGCAGACGGTCGCCACGCGTAAATGGTGACTCCAAATTACAAGCAGCATAAGCAGCATACAACATAAAGCATATATTATTAATAAGCATATTTTTTCTTTCCGATTTTACCCCTAATGGTAATTAACTTTACAGTATTATATGTATTTTACAGAAACACATCGGATACAATGTAGTTGTCGTTCTGGGTTTACCAGAAACATAGCTGAAAATATTTGAGCAAGAAAGCAAGGCAGTTCATGTTTTTGACGAATGCAGCAAATATTTTCACAGTTGATGAGTTTGTATTAGATAGCAGCAGCACAATGTTTTATATCATCAGTTGAATGGCTCGGTGCAAACGCCAAATGGCCGGCAATCAGATTTTGGAACGCAGTTCGCAGTTCGCAATTCAAAAGTGAACTGCATTCCAGAACGCAGTTCGCAATTCAAACTTTAAACATAAGTCATGGGGTCTGAAATTTTGAGGGTAGGCTACTAGTGGTCAGTTACCACTTCTATGAAAAAATGGTGATGGTACCATCTCTAGTTTCCGAGATATAGAACTCCAGTTTTTAGGCCTACTATATAATACTATATGAATAAACATCGGGTTCGGGGACATCGAAGTCCACAGTCCCAGGGTCTGAAATTTTGAGGGTAGGCTACTAGCGGTCAGTTACCACTTCCATGAAAAAATGGTGATGGTACCATCTCTAGTTTCCGAGATATAGCTCTCCAGTTTTTAAGCCTACTATATAATACTATATGAATAAACATCGGGCTCGGGGACATCGAAGTCCCCTGTCCCGAGGTCTGAAATTTTGAGGGTAGACTACTAGTGGTCAGTTACCACTTCTGTGAAAAAATGGTGATGGTACCGTCTCTAGTTTCCGAGATATAGAACTCCAGTTTTTAGGCCTACTATATAATACTATATGAATAAACATCGGGTTCAAGGACATCGAAGACCCCTGTCCCGGGTTCTGAAATTTTGAGGGTAGGCTACTAGTGGTCAGTTACCACTTCTATGAAAAAATGGTGATGGTACCATCTCTAGTTTCCGAGATATAGCTCTCCAGTTTTTAGGCCTACTATATAATACTATATGAATAAAAATCGAGTTCGGGGACATCGAAGTCCCCTGTCCCGAGGTCTGAAATTTTGAGGGTAGACTACTAGTGGTCAGTTACCACTTCTGTGAAAAAATGGTGATGGTACCATCTCTAGTTTCCGAGATATAGAACTCCAGTTTTTAGGCCTACTATATAATACTATATGAATAAACATCGGGTTCGGGGACATCGAAGTCCACAGTCCCAGGGTCTGAAATTTTGAGGGTAGGCT